CTTGACAGTGGTAAGTTTCATTTTCTCACTTCTTATTACGAAGGTTAAACCAAGTTTTTCCTTGGAGGGTAGGATTTTGAAGCATCTGGCCAGGAAAGACCGGCCCTTGGAAAAGGACATCATGCTCAGAAGGGTGGAGGGACAGCACAGGAGAGGAAGACCCTAACGATATGGACTGAAACTATAACTAGGGCAATGGGGGTAGGTGTGTCAGAGTCAGTGAGAGTGGCTCAGTGGCAGGGCAGTGTTGTACACAGGGTTGCTACGAGTCACAGGCAGCAACAATAACATTAAGAGGAGTCCCTGGGCAGCACAGTTAAATGCTCCACTACTGGCTCAAAAACAGTTTGTACCCACCCAGAAGCACCTTGGCAGACAGGCGTGGTAGCCTGCTTCAGCGAAACTGTATGAAGCAGTTCTATTCTGTACACGAATGGCCATCATAATTCAGCATCCTACTCACGGTGGCAACCAACTACATTAACAAGGTGGAGAGTCCTCACCTGTCACTACGTGTGAAGCTCTCCATCAGTCTCAGCACCAAACTCGTTCCACTGTTCATCCAGAACTCCATTCCTCACCGCTATAATCCATAAACCCACCTCAAAGCATAGGCATCACCATCTGGTTCAATCAGCCTGGTTTTGGGGGGCCTCTTCCTCTGATGGGGTGCTCCAGGGAGGATGAGTGATGAGATGCAGCTTTCTGGGGCTGCCTGGAGTGTGTGGTCTCCAGACTCCTGACGTTACTGCATATACTTTTACTCTAAATAAGACATGCTGTATCATCACTGGGGACTTCCCCAGAGAAAGCCACTCTCAAGGCCTACAGAGCCAGATTCATCATTGTTGTTGTTGTTATGTGCCATCTAGTCGCTTGCGACTCATAGCGACCTTATGTACAAGAGCTCTAAATGCTGTTCTATCCTGTGCCAACCTAGCCATCTCAAACGCACTTATTCCCACCACTCCAGTCACCGAATTGATGCATCTCATCAAAGGTCTTCCTCTCATTCGTCGCCCCTCCACTCTGCCAAACATGATGTCCTTCTCCAAGGACCAGTCCCTCCTTCCAACATGCCCAAAATACGACAGATGACACTTCAGAATCCTTGACTCCAGGCTTCACCCTCTCAAGGACAAACCTGTTTGTTCTCCTAGCCGTCCATGGTATATTCAACACTCGTCTCCAGCACCGCAGCTCAAAGGCATCAATCCTCTTTCTATTAACCCTATTCACTGTCCAACTCTGATGCATAGCACATAATTGCGAAGACTATAGCCCGGATCAGGTGCACCTTAGTCTCCAGCCTGACATCGTTGCTCTTCAGTACTCGAGAGGTCCTTCACAGCAGACTTTCCCAATGCAGTTCGTCTCCTGATTTCCTGGCTGAACCAAGAGTGTTGACTGTGGAGCCAAGTAATTTAAAACTGTTAACTACCTCAAACTCTTCACCATCCATGCTGATGCTGCCAATTGGCCCAGTGGTTAGAATCTTTGTTTTCTTGATGTTGAGCTTCAGTCCATATTGGAGGTTGTAGTCCTTCATCTTATGCAGGAAGCGTTTCAGGTCCTTCTCAGTTTCAGCAAGCAGGGTTGTGTCATCTGCATAACGCAGGTTGTTGATGATTCTTCCACCAATCCTGATGCCACATTCCTCTTTGTATAGCCCAGCGTCTTGGATGATCTGTTCTGCATACAGATTGAAAAGATATGGAGACAGAATACATCCCTGATGGACCCCCTTCTTGATTTTGAACCATGTAGTGTCTCCCTGCTCTGGTCTGACAACTGCCTCTTGGTCCAAGTATAAGTTTCGTATTACCACAATCAAATGTTCTGGGTTTCCATTCTTCTCAGAGTCCGCCACAGCTTATTGTGATCCACACAGTCAAAAGCCTTTGCATAGTCAATGAAGCACAGATAGACATTCTTCTCGTATTCTTTGCTTTCTGCTAAGATCCATCTGACATTAGCCAAAATATCCCTAGTACCACGACCTCTTCTAAATCCAGCCTGCACATCTGGCAGTTCTCTGTTGACATATTGTTCCAAAGGTTTTGGGATAATTTTCAGCAGAATCTTGCTTGCATGTGATATCAATGGTATTGTTCAATAATTTCCACACTCTGTTGGGTCACCTTTCTTTGGAATGGAAACAAATACCGACCTTTTCCATAGACAATAAATATTTAAGGGCAGGGTTTTAGTGACTCTCCAAGGTGTTTTGTGTGAATGAAGTTTTTTCTGTTCTTTATACAAGTTCTCCATTTAGACAAAAATAAAACCACATGTTTATTAATGAAGGTAAGTTTAAAGATCTCTGAAGACTTCCAAATAGCAGAACATTTATCAACAGAGCTGACTTAATTCATGCCCAAACTTGCAGGCAATTAAAGTCCAAAAAAAAAAAAACCACACCAAACAAACCCAAAAAACTTAAAATTTAAAACAAACAAATAGAAAGAAAAAGGAACACAGACCAATTGCTAATATATTAACTTTTATTTTGAATTACAGCACAGAATATGTCAGCAAATGAAATTATGAAAAAAATTAAACATCATTTGCATAGGAATTGCTAGTTTTATAACTTAGGAGTGCTAACAGAATTATGAGATAGATTACAACATAATATAAGACTCATACCTATACTAAAAATGCAATATAAATTTTTAATGACAGTTCTTTTGTTCACTATTTGGTAGGTGATTAACACAATTAACTTGTTTGCTGTGGATGACATCTAAATCTCATCTTAACCAAATGCAATTTTTCTAAGCCAGACACTCCTTATCTGTAGTATGAGAGCTTCAATTAACTATTGGTAAAACTATGGATTTGTTTTTACGGCCCAAATACTGTTCAAGAACACCATCCATGTCAAATATTCTAAAGAATATGTCAAACGCAACATGCTTCAGCGAAAGCCTTAGCTTGTGATCCATTCCACTATCTTTTGGGACTTTGTTATCAACAACTCAGTGTGCTGTTCTGATTTTTGGATGAGCAGCCATTTTTGGCTAAGAGCTAACTAAGGGGGAAAAAGGAAACATTTAAGGCCACATTACTTCCCCCTTGAAAAGAAATAAAATACAGTTTTATGAACTTTCATAGGGGAAAACTATGCATTTGTACAACTTTGCAGAGTAAAAGGATGCCACGAAGGGCACTGCACTGTTTTTAGCTACCAAAATATTTCTGTCTGGCTATTTTAGCAACACTGACAGAGTTTCTAACCTTTCACCCTGAAATGAGATTGCACATTGTTTGCATAGCTGGTGAGACTACAGGCAACTCTGGGGCAACAGGCTGGTCACTCCTGAGTTGTACATTATGCTAAATACATCAAGTTCTTGGGCCAAACAGGTTTTGCTGTGGGACTGATCAAAATACTTAGGTTTTTGTTGCATTGATCAATATGAATTTTTAACAGAATATTTTCCAATTAAAAAATTATACTCTTACTGACTGACTTAAAGATAATGCTTTCAGTTCAACTGCAAATTTAGGTGTTGGGTTGGGTTTTGGGGTGGTTGGGTTTTTTTTTTAGATCTAGGATTACAACATTTCCTCCCACTCTAACACATATTTTCATAGAACATTGACTGGAAACCAGAGCAAAACATGAAGAAGAAAACGAAAGACATGTTTAAATAACAGAAATACCATAGTGTTTATCATGGTAGGTTACAGAAAGCAGCTTTAAGTTTTGTATGTGCAATTAGGCACTCACAGAGGCATTTAGACACCATTGATTATAAAGTGCATTGAATATAAATTTTAACACCTCCCCAAAAAATCAGTAAATCCTAGGTCTCTTTCTTGAAACCAATCAGTCCAAGAACATGCATATATGAACATTTATCAGACTCTGTATTACACTCTTATTACTTGTACTCCTGTGATAGTAATAGCTACACATTGACCTTGCATATTGAACATCTTAACTGAGGACCTCAAAGTCACTGCATCAAGCAATGTGGTGCAGAACTTTAAGATTCGTCAGTATATGAGTCCACTTACTGGTGACATGAGAAATAGGATTCCAGAACAGTAACTCCAAAATAAAAGCTCAAAGAAACACGATGAGATGTCTTGTGGCTTGAAATTTATTAGTGCATCTCTAAGCCTGTCACTTGTATCCTATCACATTGGTAACTTCTGACTCTTTTTTAATATATTTTATTATTTTGTTTGTTTGTTTGTGTACCGTCAAATTGGATCTGACTGGTACAGGAGGAGACTGTCCCTCCTTCTACAGCAGAACATCTGGTGGATTCGAACTGCACATCTCTGGGATTACAATGCAGCTTCTTGCCACTAGGCCACCAGAGCTCCCTAGGTAACTGCTGACTCTTAAATGAAAAAAACAACAACAAAACAAAATGACTTTTAATGTCAGAAATAAGGTAAAAGAATCAATGAACAAATCACAGTTTGTCTTGTTAATAGTATGGCAGCTCACCTTTGAAGAACACGTGATACCAGAACTGGCTTTTTGACGATGTGCAAATTTACTCATGAATTCCTAATACTTGGGTAGAAGATGACAATCTTACACAGGAGACACTAACCATACAGACCATATGATGGATCTAGCTATTTCTGCACACCTACATTTAACATAAAAGCAAAAGTGCATCGGTTTATTGAAGGTTAGACTTTCGGTCTTCTCTAAGACCAAAGTCTTCCTGTCTCTTTTTAGGGTTTAACGGGGAGAACTATGTGAGTGTAGTTAAAATTAGTTTCTGTGAAATCCATGGACACGCCAGGCCCCACCAGAGCGGAATTACAGGGCGGTGTGAAAGGGCCATGGACAAGCTCACTAGAGAAAGGGTCCAGAGCCTCGACTCAATGGGCAAAGCTCAGCCCTCTCTGTCAGGATGAGCACGCTGCGCTTTTTCTTTTAGAAAGGATTTTGGAGACTATTTGAAAATCATTTTCTTTGTGGACAATATGGTTAAAAGGGCTACATTTTCATCACATATAGAACTAAACTAGCTCTTCCTGTGTACTTCTTTACTTCTAAGGAGATGCAATATACGTTCATTTTTGGTAAGTTCCGCTGGAAGTTCATTGGCCTGAAAGAAGAAAAGAGACACCAGTGAAGTCCTGTGGAGAGGGAGGATTTTAGAGACTCTAAGCGTTCTCTACAGTTGGGCTTCCCCACACCCCTGAAGTACTCTTCTTGGTGTCTTAACAAGCACTAATACATATATGTCACCTGCTATTTTCTCACTATTGTTAGAATTCCTGCTCTAACTGGTCATACATCCCTCACTAGACTGTATCTCCTGGAGGACAAGGTCCATGTCTTATGAAATCACTGTGTCCTCACTTCCCAGTACAATGCTTAGCACACCCAGTTGGTGCTCATATATACAATCATCCGTCTGTGTCAGCGGGTTCCAGCAGGCCCCTCCTCAAGTCCACAGATGCTAAAGTCCCTTCTATAAAATGGGACGAGATTTGAATACAACCTGTGCACATTCTCCTATATAGTTTAAATCACCTCTGGATTACTTATAATACCTCCAAACTCAAACTCAAGTCATTGTTATCCAGTCAAAACCAACTAATAGCTGGCCCCCCCAGTGAGTGTTCAGAGGTTGCAGACTGTACAGGAGATTGGCCATCTTTCTCCCGTGGAGCAGCTCATGGATTTGAACCACCAGAGAGGTATGACCTTTGGGTTAGTGCAACTGTCACCAAAGTGACACTAAAAATGAACTAGGCTCTTCAGAGGGAAGGTATAATACCTCATACACCATAAATGCCATATAAATACACTGTCTGTTCCTTCTTAGGCTTTGAAGGATTGCTTTGATCATTTAGTTACTTCCCTCCCTCTCCCCGAAATAGTTTTGATCTTTGGTTGGTCAAATGCAAAACTCACAGATACAAAGGGCTGACTGTACTACTACAGTGTGCTGGTAAAATGAAATCTGTTATTTTATGTTTAATTTTTGAATTATATGAGATGTTTTTTCTCCAAGAGAGGTCTCAGGACAGCTATCTTTAGGTGGTTCAATGACAGAAATGCAGAAAGACTAATTCTATATGCTAAGCAGAATGGGGACAAGCATGTCAGAGACAATAAGATTGGCAAGGGATAGAGCAGGGTTTAGGATTGTTGTACACAGGGTCGCTATGAGTCGCAAGTGATTTGATGGCACATAACAACAACGAAGCAGAATGAAAGAAAGAGGCCCCGGTCATACTGTTTAATTGGTACTTCTTTTCAAAAATTCATGATCATCATGCTGTATTCTGTTTTTAATTATTAAAAATGTCAACAGAGCAGCAGCTGCTTATGGAAATGCAGAAAGTAAATTATAGAATAATATGAAAGTAGTTTTTCATCTTCCCTCGACTAACAAATGCCTATCTCACTTCCTTCTTCAAAACTTAATAGTTGTGAACAATCTTGTCTGTAATAGAAAAGAGTCTCCATAAACTCTGGCTTCATTTACCCTGAGGCCAGAGAACTAGATGGGTGGCTAGTTATTATTATCAATTGTTTTAATCAGTACCGGAACAGATGAACCCTGAGAAAATATGGAAACAGAAAATGTGGAACAGAACCTCAAACTCCTAAAAAAACAAAGCTAATCAACCAATATATGTACAGGATGAGTTGAAACTATATAATCCTGAGATTACTGCCCTGTGATATTCTTTAAACTTTGAACCAAAATTAACCACTGATGCCACCATGTAGTTAAATAATAAATCTGCTCACAAAATAATGATTAAGGTCCATAAATACTGTGCTCCTTTATGAAATCATTTACATGAGACCAAATGGTCAATACATAGTTTAAAGCAAAGATAAAAATGTAACTGGGTAGAGAAAATAGATTAATGAAAATAGTACAACCTAAAGAGAAATAATGAAAATGAATACCTATTGTGAAGCAAACTTAACCATTATTGTTGTTGTTGTGTACCACAGAGTCAAAACCGACTCACAGCTGACCCTCCAGCGGGTTTTCAGAGGCAGTAATTGCATGGGAGGAGATTGCCCATTCTCTCACATAGAAGGAGATGGTGGATTCGAATCACAAGCCTTTGAGATCGCAGCACAGATTCTTACCACTAGACCACGAGAGCTTCCTTAACCATTATTACAAACCAAATAGTATAGAAATTGTTGAATGGGAAATTAACATGTTGTATAAACCGTCACCAAAACGCCACAAAATTTTTTTAATAGTTAATTTTTCTATTAAAAAAAGTTAATGTTTTTTTCAAGACATTTCCTAGGCTGTTCTCTGCCTGCAGTCTCCACATTTCAATGCCCATGCAGAGCTGAATAGGAGGAATTAAGATGACAATTCCTTTTTCTGTTATTACTGTGCATTCTTCCATCTCCACATTTGGCCCAATTACAAAGCAATTTAGAATTACAAAGCTATGAGTTGTTTTGTAACAGTGTGAGTGCCTCTATTAATAACACAGAAGCAACATTTTTCCCATATAGCCATAAATAATTCTTAATATACGAGCATCTAACTTAGCCAGAATTGCACAATTTTTCTGGCATTCTTTAATGACAATGTATTCATGACTCTCAGCTCACAACTGCTGCCTCCTTCCTCCCTCCCCTTCTCTCCACCAAGGATGCAGTAAAAACCAGTGAAGTTACTAGAATGTTAGTATGATTATCTGGGTCCAAATGTCCTGTTCGCTCTATAACAAACCTACTGACAGCAACCAAGAGTGCCATCATTACATGTAAGTATGGAGATACTGCCTGGAGCCAGAGAGAGGCCCATCTGTGGCTCAGGAAGACACTGCCTTGCACTTCTGCAGAAGAATACAATGGGGTTAAATTATACTGAAGCCAGTACCTTATTTCTCAGGGCTGGGTCTGCGCCTGCTTCCAGGAGCAGAGCTACTGTTTTAATACTCCCGCTGAGCACTGCTGCGTGGAGAGCTGATGTCCCGTTCTATGAGAAAAGACAGTGTGGGTCAGATGTGAACTCACAGACGTCTGCGCTCAGACAGCAGACACCAGCCCAAGAGTGCACTTCTCAGGTCTGCATCTGCCTTAGCTCCCCTCTCACTTATCCACAGTACTTATGTTCTTTGTGGTCAAGTACAATTCAGTGACAATGAATGTTGATCTGAACCCTGTCCTATCTTATGCCATTCTTTACAATTTGTTAGAAAGCAAAAAAAAAAAAAAAAAAGGCAACACTGTGCCAAACATAATTTATTTTATCCCCCCTTCAAGGACAGCATTTGCAGCCAATTGACTTTAGGGGATCCACGTAGCTGGTGTTCGGGGTCAGTCTGCTGGGTCAGTGGTCCAGCAAGTCTGGAAGAGTGGCTAGTGGTCAGCAGGTCAGCCTGTTAGGTCAGTGGCAGACACTCCACTCAGGCAGGTGGCAAGGGGGTGAAGTTATAGGGCTTAGGAGGAAGAGGACAGGAAGTGAGAAGGAGCCCATGGTCTCTGAGTGAGAGCACTTCTGACACAGAATGGCCTGGGGAATGGGCTCCAAACATTTTATGAAATTTACCACAAATATTTACTGACATAAGAAAGTGATTTTCAGGGGTTAGGGACAGAGAAGAGAATAGCTCTGGTGGCCTAGTGGCAAGAAGCTGTGCTACAATCCCAGAGGTGTGCAGTTTGAGGCCACCAGCTGCTCCATTGGAGAAGGACGGGCAATCTCCTCCCATGGGATTAACTGCCTCTGAAAACCCACTGGAAGATCAGCTATGGGTCAGTTCCAGCTCTGTAGTACACCACCAACACATTCGTATCGCCTGTTTTTGAGTTGGCAGTGCAGTTTCTTACCCATGAGGCCAGCAGAACTCCCTAATATAAAAACACTGATTTTGGAGGTAACGTGTCCATGAATAGATTTAAAAGCCAGTTTGGGTTCCAAATTAACTTCTTATAAGGAAAAAAACTCAAAACATTTTCAGTGAAATGGGATTTTCTTACATTTGCTTTTATAATATACACAGCAAGCCACTAACGCAGTAATGTTTACTCATCTCAATCTCAATTGACTTATCTACTTCACTTACATGTGACATGACAAAGAAAAGCTTTCTGAAATGAAACTACATATTGCAAAGTCTCTACCTAAGGTTCCTTACTTTTATTCAGCACTTACTCTTACAAAAGGTTTAATCTTCCTTTCTGAACAGTTCTAACAGGTGCGGCTTTTTGGTTGGTAAGATAAGAGGTTGTTCCTGGGACAGGAACAGGGATAAGCTCACCGACAACAATGGGTAAATATTAGCTGAGAGCAAGAATGGAAAGTAAAAGGGAAAAATGCAGATACATCAAGTTGCCCCACCCTACTCCGCTGCCCCTGGTGTCAGTAAGGGCAGGAAGACAGTACACATACGAACAGATGCTAAGGGTACAGCCCCAAACTCCTAAGCCCCCAGGCCAACTTTAGATGATTTTAGGATCCTATTTTTGAGAAAACAGGAGCATATATGTTTGGAATCACCAAACAGTGGCTAAATCTAGCTTGTCATCTGGTTTTATATATTATATACATTTGATAAACTAAGAATAATGTTTAACATTTATAAATGGTTGAAAAAAATGGAAAAGATTATTTTGAGACATGTGGAAATATGAAATGTCACAAAAACAGTGCCCATAAATAAAGTCTCTGTGGGATGCAGCTACCCTTGCTCACATGGCCTTGTCCATAGCGCTTTGGAGCAATAGGGCAGTGTGATTCATGACGACAAAGCCTGAAATATTTACCATCTGGTCTGGTACGGAGAGGTTTGTTGACTCCTGCTATATACTGTAATACCTTTTAAATCCAAAATCATAAAAATAAGCATTAAGGCTCTTTCTCTGGAAGACTATCCAAGATAGATGTTTGAGGTTTATTTTGCTTCATCTAAGGGAACAAAGCAGACTCGGTTCTGGACCCCAGAGAAGGGAGTCAAGGACCATGACTTGGTTGATTGTACAAGTCCTCGGAATACTATCAGCACAGCTCACTTCCCAGTTTAGTGGTGACTTTGTTAAACTGAAACCCAAACCCAAACCAAACTGATTCCCATGGAACTGGTTCTGACCCAAAGCATCCCTATGTGTATTAGAAAACAGCTGTGCTCCATGAAGTTTTCAGTGGGTGGTTTTGGGAAGCAGTCAGCCAGGCCTTTTTTTCTAAGTAGCCTCTGTGTGGAATGAAACAATCAACTTATTTATTGACAATAAATGTGTTAACTACTGTCTGTACTAACCAGAGACTCCTAGTGACTTCACTGTTGTTGGGTACCATTGAGTTGGACAACCCATAGCTGACTCTCCAGTGAGTTTTGAGAGGCAGTTAACTGCACAAGAGGAGACTGCCCGTCCTTGTCCTTTGGAGCAGAAGCAGGAGTGGCATCTACTTCCTAAACAAAATGCCTCTTGAAACTCTATGAGCTTTGAGAAAGGACAATAGTTATAGAAAGGCTTCTGGTATTTTAATCACAGGGTCTCTACAAGTGGTGCTCAATTCGACAGCAGTCATCATCAACAACAGCATAGCTTCTTACCATTAGGCCATCAGGACTCCCTAGTGATTTCCTTAGTATTGTCTTATTTTCAACATCAAGAAGCTGTAGGGGTGACCTTTCAGAAACACCACCAGCCACAGTAATAATACATAAATGCAGCCCCCAAGCCCAAGCATGAATTTCTTATTTTGCAACTTCTCTCTTTTGTAGATTGATAAACTTGATCTTTCAAGCCTTACCTTCAAAATACCAAGGGTGGGTGAGAATTTAAGCAACTCTTCTATCACGTCACTATACCCTTTGTTGGCTGCCTTCAGTAATGCTGTTGTGCCATCCTTAACAGAGAGAAGAAGAGAAAAATTGATTGTTAGTGCATGTCTAACAGCCAAATTGTAGTTGGGAACTCGATGCATGTTTGTCAAAACAGGAGAGATGTGTAAACTAAAGCACAGACCTGCAATATCTTCAATCCAGATGCATTACAGGGCACATTAAGTAGTTAATTCTGCATGAAGGAATATCAGACAAATATGTGGCCAGGATATTGACTTAGAAGCATGCCATCTGTGAATCACATGGCTCAATGGCCTCACCTCACTGGGTGAAGGACAAGGGGGAGTTTCAAGAGCCTATCCATGGGCAAAAAGAACATGCTAAGACTGTGTGGTTCATGACTTGGGGGAAACCAGTTGTCAAATGGTTTTCAATAATTTAGATTAAGAATGAACTCTATTGTTTTTTGAGAATTTTAAATGTGCCTTTTCTGTTTGCCTTCCCTTGCATGCAACCTTTATTACTGAGGGGGGAAGACTGGAAGCTGTTTCAAAGAATGCAAAGACAAATGTAAAAACAGCCTCTGTCCTAAGAAGAGGTTTCCCCAGGCTCCCTCTTCTGCCTTTCCTGTATCACTGTGTCTGGGGGGCTCAGTCACAGAACTCTCCAGTCCAGGAAAACACCCAGCCTGTCATTATGGGTTAGCTGGAGTCAGGATGAAGAAATAGAGCAGGAGAGAGATCAGTAAGGGGGCAGGCATGTCTCTTATGACTTCTGTTTCCTGGGCTTACACTTGGAGAGGGGCATGATGGGTTGGCTAAGTGAGGAAGACAGCCAGGGAATAGGGACCAGGCACAGAGAGAAAAAACTCCCCAAACTTCAGGCAGAAGGGTCTGCTCAAGCTGACCTCAGTTGCTTTGGTGTTGAGCGGTTTTCTGAAGTAGAATTCAGTGATTCCACCAGAGGCCAGTGGGGACTGTGGGATGATGGAGGGGTCTGTGGCCTTAGAATCCTGAGAGCATTTCCTGACCTCAAAACAGACCATGTTTTGAGGAGACCCTGTCTCCAGACTGTTCAGCTGGAGACCTGAGAGCAGAGCCAGCAGGAGGTGCAGTCTAGGGTGGGAGATTGAAAGCTAGGGATAAATAGGTGAGGAGGGTCGAGCTCTAGGTCCCCCACTCCCACCACTAGGCCTGAAGTCATGTCTCTGTCATCCTCAACTCATGTTGGGTGCAGGAGGATTGTGGAAGAAAGTAATACTTTCCCCTTAAACAGATTAAGTGGCACTTGCTAAAATAGGGAGAAAAGTCCAACAATGAATGACTGGAAACCCTAAGTCTCTGTAAACTTTCATTAAAATTAATAAAAAAATATACTGGGTCCTGGCAAATTTCAACTCAACTGGACATTTGCTTCCTTGCTAAATATCAGGTGGAGGTTTCTAGAAAACCCAGGTGAATTATGGACATAATAGAAACGAATTATGGACATAATAGAAACAGACGTTCTTGGCATTTCTAAGCTAAGTTCTGGAGCTCTCGCGTTTTTATCTTTAACTCGAGCTCTCACGCGGAAATGCTGTCATTCAGAGACTCACGTTCCGGGTGGCGTCTCGCTCAGCGCCCCGCAGCAGCATCACCCGCACCACCTCGCTGTGGCCCATCTGCGATGCGATCCATAGGGGCGCTGTCCCGTCCTGCGGGGAGAAAACAGGGCAGCCTGCTGGGACCGGGCAGTGTGGACCTGCCCCCTCACATGGGGCTTGTAAACATGAAGCTTCTGACACTCAAAATGGGGAAAGGGCTCCCTGACAACAAAGCACACACTACCATGTAACTCAGGTACTGAACTGCAGTCATGTGCTGTCGACTCACAACTGACTCACAGCTGACCCTCCTGGGGGTTTTCAGAGGCTCTAAATGACACGGAGGAGACTGCCCTGGGCCAACGTCTTCCTTGAAGCAGCTCATGGATTTAAAAAAAGAATTAAAAAGGATTTTTATTTTATATTGATTTGCACAAAAAATTTGCATACGTGTTCATTTGTATATATTGTTTCATGCATTCCTGTATTCACAAAGTGTTTTATAAAATCAGTCACCACTGATAATGCCCATCATTATTGAACCTGTTCAGGTCCTCACTGGATCCTTCCCAATTTCTTCAACCCTTTACTCTGCCCACATAACTCAGGGCCCTCAAGATTTCCCCCATCCCCACCTCCTCAGACTCCCTTCTCCTCTCCCCTTCGCCCTTTGGACTTTTGTGTACATCTTCCTAGTAATCCTTCTATTACAGTAATTGCATCACAGTAATGGTCTTATGCAGTATTTTTCCTTAAGGATTTGAACCACCTGCCTTTGGCTTGGCAAAGCAACTCCTTCTCACTAGGTGAGTGGTACTGATAGAGGGTTGTCACTCATCTCTAATGACCAGGTTCTGTCAAGGGAATTCTGACTCAGGGGACCCCACACGTGGCAGCATAGAACTGTTCTCTATAGCTAATTTCCAAGAGCTAATTTTTAAAGGAGATTGCCAGGCCTCTCTTCCAAGGCACCTTTGGGAAGCCTCAAACTACAAGCCTTCCTTTTACTATATACCTCACCCAGGTGCTCCCCCTCTTTGTCACTGCATCAGAACTGACTCATAGCTGACCCTCCAGTGAGTTTCCATAGAGCTGCTAGTGGATTCAAACTGGCAGAGAGGTTCCACCTTTGTGCCTTCAAAGCTCCCCCACTGAGCATGTCTCATGAGTCACAGATCCCAGGTTCAGGTTTCGTTCCCTATCCCAGGCAGAGCTTCCCACTGAGCTATACAGACTGGTATTTGGCTGTGCCTGCACTACTTGGGCAACTGGCAATATTCCACTGTTGGCTCACACATACAGCCATGTCATCTGTTTATTTTTAAATTTTAAATTTTTTTTTGAGTGTGTGTTCGTACCATCAGATCAGATCCTTCTCCAGAGGAGCAACTGGTGGATTCGAACTGCCTGCCTTCGGTATTGCAGAACAGCTTCTTGCCACTAGGCCACTAGAGTCCCCTTACCATTCTACCCCTTCTACAGTGTCCTGCCAGACTGGTGTTGTATGGAGGAAGTGCTTTCCCTGCTGACACCCTAGGTTTTTGACTTAGCTGGGGGTGAGGGGTGTCACATCAAGTTACCATTCACACAGCACACTCAGCTTGTTATTGTTAGGTGCCACTGAATCAACTATGATTCACAGTGACCCTTATGAACAACAGATATGAAGATGTCATATTCACCATCTCTGTCCTGCTCAAACTCACTGTGGTAGTCACTGTGTTCCACTCAGCTTAGCAGAGGCCTTTATGTGGAATGGGCAGATTCCTCTGAGGGCCAGAGACGAAGGACACGTCTCCTACTCTGTTACTGCGATGACCAATATTCTCCAGCTCCATATCACTGCTACGGGACTTCAGATGGGACCTGTGTCTGCGAGGTGTGGCATCAGTTATTTAGAACAGGATGACACTTTTGGTGGTGTTTCTGTGTTTTGCTCTGTGAACCTTCTTCCATCAACACAAGGCCATGAGAAGAAAAAGTGGGACAACCAAGGGGTGGAGGGAGACTTGAGTTGGGTAGTTCCTGCCCGTCAGAAAGGGGAAACATCCTTCCACTACTGGGGGTTAGAGAGGCCAGAGGCTGGAGACTAAATTTGATGTGGCAGAAAGTCCCAGATAAATTATAGAGAACTCCAGCTGGCAGAGGATTTCCTTCTCTTCCTGAATGACATCTAGTAAAACTGCATGTCCCATAGAAGTTCAGTTCCCAGGAGGTACCTGAGAGAAAAGAAATACTGTGGGCGTCCTCTGGGGCCAGGGGATCTGTGTCTAACCCCACATCCCCATGGCTCACATCACTGCCAGTGGACGTCCATGAGTCCTGCCTTCCTATGGGAAATCACAAGTGCTGAGGCAGACAGCGGCCAAGGGCAAGCTGGGCAGGAGAAGACCTCACAGGGTCATGAGTTCAGGGCCAGAGATGAAGGCAGGGCTGAGCTGATGACGAACCGGGTGAGTGAGCAGGTCTCCATCCCACCCTAAGAACAGGGTGAGAGTCTGAGAACTTGGGTGACTCCAGGGAGAAGGGCAGGAGAACCCAGAACCGACTCAACCTCTAGGGTAATGAAGGTGACGTGGCCTAAAGGGTGGGTTTTTGTCAGGTAAGACTGGATCACCCCAGTGGGGAAGGAGGGCTGGTGGACATTATAGAATATAAACTTACACTTCTGCTGCAGGGTGTAATTTCAACTGCACTCTATTAACCAACAGCAGACAGAAGGCTGTGACTCACCACTGTCCTGGCTACGGGACAGGAGGGTGATGTCTGAGTGGGTGGAGGAGGGTGGCAATCGGGCGCCTGGGAGGACAGTGGTTACTGAAGGACAGTAGGAGGACATCAAGGACTTTGGCCCCTCAGTGCCTCTGGAGATTTGGGGAAGATGTGCTGAAATAAAGAATGAAGAAGATCAAAGACAACCTTTACCTACTTCACAATGTTTCCAAGCATCTCTCAGACCTCAAATCCAAATATGATTGATCATTCAAATTAATTGCCTTTAAGCCAGAACAGAACCTCTAGTGTGGTTTTGTTAGGCTGTAAATTGCATAGGAGGAGAGTGCCCATCTTTTTCCCAAGGAGTGGCTGGTGGATTCAAATGGCCTACCTTTGGGTTGCCAGGGCAACTCCTTATCCAGTAGGCCACCAGAGATAAACAGCACCTTTTTGTTGTTAAGTGCAGTCGAGTCATAGATGATTCACAGCAATCCTATAAACGAAAGACCTAAACACTTGTATATCTTTCATCCTTTCTCCAGGTTCATAGAGCTTCTGGAGGCAAGCTATTATGAAAGTGGATGCCACTCCTGCTTCCAAGCTTGTTTTAATCGAGGAGCTCCACCAAACACTGTCTACGGTGGTAACCATTCTCGCATTGGACTCATCAGTGTCACAGTGTTCAGCTTCACAGCAACCACGAGTTACCTCTGTACAGCAATAGCATCTTAGCTTATAATTTCATTTATGAAACACTTCCATGTTCTATGAGATGAATTGATTCAGTGACTGGGGAAATGGAGGTAGGTGTGTCAGAGACAATAACACTGGCACAGGAAATGGCAGTGTTTAGGGCTGTTGTACGTACGGTCACTATGAGTCACAGGTGACTCCATGGCACCTAACAACAACTCTCTTTAATGGATTCTCCCAATTCAGTATTCACCCATTTATTCATGCGTTCACCCAACCTACAATTATTGAGCATCTCCCAAGTCTCAGGAGAATGCTTAAGCACGAAGGAAGACTCAGCCTCGTTCTCAAACAACCTTAGCCTGGCGGGGGAAAACGTGGGTCAGATGGCTATCAGCAGGATGTGGTGCCAGACAGAGGAAGGACCTGGGCAAACATGCCCATGGTGAGTCAACAGCGGGGCTGCCTGGAGGGCGATGTGGGGCCAGCCTCCCAGGTGGGGTGGTGCCTGGCTGGGCCTAGAAGGGCAGGTGAACACGCTCTGTCACTGCAGCTCGGACAGACTCCTTCGGGGCGAGGAATTCAGGCAGCTACAGTACAGGGGCTCTGGTGGCGGAGGCCATAAAGCGTTGTGCTAGTAACCCAAAGGAGGTGCCTCTCGTTTCCACCAGCAGCTCCGCAGGAGAAAGATGAGCAATCTCCTCTGAAACCCAGCTGGAGTGCTAGCTCACTCTGAGTCAGTTCCCATGATGGCAAGGGTGACAGCACGGGGATCACAACCGACCTGGGGAAAGGGGAGGGAGTCTAGGCTCCAGAAAGCCCTAAAGCAGGGCAGGGGTTCCCAGAAATGCCCACTGTTCCCCTGTCCTGACTTGTGTTATTCTTTGTCAGTCTCTCCACCAGAGGGCAGGCAGGCAAAGGCACACGCAGCAGGCAGGCACGACTCAACGTGCCATCCAAGGCCTGGATGCGCCTCCCACAGCTGCAAACCCACTAACACTGAGCTGGTTCTGACTCCCAGCGGCCCCTCTACAGGCTTCCGAGGCCAGGCCGTAAATCTTTACAAAGGAGATCACCCATCTTTCTCCTGTGTTGGTGGATTTGAACTACCTGTGTTTGAGGTGGCAGTGCAACTCCTTACTCACTTAGGCTGCAAGGCTGACACTGTTGTTGTGTACCATGGAGTCGGAAGTGACCCACAGCTAACCCTCTGCAGGCTTTCAGAGGCAATTAATCACACAGGAGGAGATTGCCCATGCTTTTCCCATGGAGCAAACTGTGCCCTTGAATGTGCCTTTGGGATTGCAGCACAGCTTCTTGTCACTAGGCCACCAGAGCTCCCTAGAAAGATATTAATTGGTACCAATAACAAGAAAGTGTTGAGGATATGCTGTTTGGGGAGCGATTATTAGTATTACTCATTCACAGTAAAAACATTACTATTCAAATACTTATCATCATAATTATAATAGTCATGGTAAATGGGAAAATCGGTCACTAGGTTTTGGCTGTGACATCTTTGGCTGTGAGCCTCAGTGTCCTCTTCTGTGAAAATGTGACCTTCACAGAGATATTATGGGATGAGAAATCACTGAGACTGGTTTGGTGTGCCTAAACATTCAGATGCCTAGACCCTGTTGGAGTCCCCTGGTGGAGCAAATATTTAAAGTACTTGGCTACTAAGTAAAAGGTTGAAGGTTGGG